TTGCTCATCTCTCTCTCTCTCTCTCTCTCTCTCTCTCTCCTGTGTGTATGTGCGAGTGTGTAAGGGAGAGAGACAGTGTTTCACACTGTAGCCCAGGCTAGGCTAGCCTCAAACTTGGAATCCTCCTGCCTTAGACTTCCAACTGCAAGACCCACAACACCAGCTCCTGTCTACCTCATCTTTTTTTTTTTTTTTTTCCTTTTGGTTTTTTGAGACAGGGTTTCTCTGTGGCTTTGGTGGCTGTCCTGGAACTAGTTCTTGTAGACCAGGCTGGTCTCACGAGATCCACCTGCCTCTGCCTCCTGAGTGCTGGGACTAAAGGCATACGCAACCAGCACTGGGCTTCTACCTCATCTTTGAATCGCTGATTTTCAGGGTTCCCTCACATCTCCTATCCTACACATTCCCTCCACCTGTCTAAGTTTGAGGCTAGTTGAGGTGTCTTTGCTCATATTGCCTGTGCCCTTTGACCCCTTACATCTTGAACTTTTCTGTAGTGAAATAGGCAGAAGGGGACTCTGCTCCCTCTTCAGCCCCCTCCTCCCATCTGAAACCACACAAGACTGAGCACCAGGGTGCTGCTCCTTTTGGTGTGGTCTGGCCTGCTGGGCTGCCACTTGGTTTAGATTTATTGAACTAATTTGAATCAAGTCCTGCAGGCCTGTGCTGAGGCTGCTACATGTAGTGCGAGCCTAGCATTTGCAAAGTCCTGGGTCTGGTCCCCAGCACCGAAATTAAAGGGGAAAAAGATTCTATCAGTTCTTTCCAATCTCCAGAAATTTCCCAGGATCAGGCTCTCCACTTTGCTGCCTCCTAAGGCACCCTTTGGGGATCTGTGGTTATCCCTGGGATGTCTGGCTTTTCTCTGGTCTCCACCCGCCCTCACCTCTTTGCTTTTTGTTGGTCCTGGGAAGAGGAGAAACTGCTAGTCTCCAAGCCACCACTTGCCCTTCCCAGAGCCCAGGACACATCACTTTTGATTTGCCCGTTTCAGGGCACAAGGACCACCTCATGATCAAGGGGAAACTTTTCATGATGTCACCTGCCTGCGATCCCAGCACTTTGGAGACTGAGGCAGGAGGACTACATATTTGAAGCTATCTGAACTACAAACCAAGACCATCTCCCCCAAACCAAACCAAGCTAGACGTAGTGGTTGGTTCCTGTAATTAAGCATGGAGGAGGCTGAGGCTAGAGGATTTCCGTGGGCTAGAGGTGGGTTTTAAGACAGCCTAGACTACAGAGTAAGGCGCTTTCTCAAAAAAGCAAACAGAACAAAAAGACAGCAACAAAACAAAACAAAACTGGGTATGGTAGTGCATACCTGTAATCCTAACCCTTGGGAAATTGCAGCAAGAGAATCAGAAGCCAAAACCATTCTCGGCCATACAGTTAGTTAGTTAGTTAGTTAGTTAGTTAATAGTTAGTTAGAGGCCAGACTGGGCTATCTGAGATCCTGTCTCAAACCAACAAACTGGATATGGCGGCACACCCTTGTATTGTCAGCACTAGGAAGGTTGAGGCAGGAGAATTACCACAAGTTTGAGGCCAACCTCGTCTACTGAGTTCCAGACTAGTCAAGACTACATAGGAGACCCTGACTCAAACAAAAAAGTAGCATTAACAATAAGTCAAGGAGCAACTGGGAGACACTGCAGAGGCTGGCAGAAAGGGAGTGAAGGCACCATCTCAGGACACATTGATGAGGACCCTGTGGCTCTCACAGTCTTGGGAACTTACCACTTTGCTTTGGCGCCAGACTCTAGGGCCCAGAGAATGGTGTCTACTTTTTCCAATACCCTCCACTTCCAGACAGGCTTTGATGCAAACCCCCACAAGCCCATTAGCTGTGTTGCTCAGCAGGGTGCAAGATCTCAAACAGCCCCTGCCTACTCTCTGCAAGCTAAATCTGCTCTGACATCTAATCTCAGCCTATTGGTAGCTGGGAGATGCAATGCAAAGCTTGCTTCCAGGGAAGAAGACTGTCTAGATGACAAGTGATGGTTGAGTAGGCAGGCTAGGTTTCCAGGAGGCAGAAAGGAGCAGTCTTTCCAGTCCAGCGACCTCTCATCCCACAGCAGCACTTAACTCCACACTGGATCTTCCACTGAGGCCACCAGAGTAACAAAATGACCTCGATTAGGCCCTGGAGCTATAGCCAGGACATGAGCTTACTAGGTTAAGGGTTCCAAGAACCAGGATGAGTGAAGAAGGAAGAGACCAAGAAACATGCCTTCTGGGACTGTCAAAATGGAGTCTGAACCCTGTGGCCAAAGCCAGTTTCTAAGTACTTGTGGGAAGGCAAAGACAACTTTTCAGGGTTTTTGGACTGAGGGGGAGACAGTCCTGGACCCCAAGAAACTTCACTGTGCTAAGAGGATGTGGTTCCATTGTCATGGAGCCTTCAGATTGATGAGGGACAGAAAGCCCTGTATCAGAGCTCAGGATGATGAAGTGACCTCAGAGGGCCCCATGAAAATACAGGATGCAACAGCTTGAGGGGCTTTGGTATTTGAGGAGGGGCTCAGGTTTTATTTTATTTTTTGAGAGAGGGTCTCTTTGTGCAGTCCTGGATGACCTGAAATTCGCTCTGTAAACCAGGGTGGCCTCAAACTCACAGAGATCCACCTGCCTCTGCTTCCTGAGTGCTGGGATTAAAGGCATGGGCCACCATTGCCTGGCTCATTTGGGGTTTTTTGTTTGTTTGCTTGCTTGCTTGTTTGTTTATTTATTATGTATACAACTTTCTGCTTCCATATATATCTGCACACCAGAAGAGGGCACCAGATCTCATAACGGATGGTCGTGAGCAACCATGTGGTTGCTGGGAATTGAACTCAGGACCTCTGGAAGATCAGTCGGTGCTCTTAACCCCTGAGCCATCTCTTCAGCCCATACTTGTTTGTTTTTTAAGATTATTTTATTTTATATGTTTGGGTGTTTTGCCTGTATGTGTGTGGAGTGGACCACTCTCTATATAGCTCTGGCTGTCCTGGAACTTGCTCTGTGGACCAGGCTGGCCTCCAACTTAGCTGGGATTAATGGCTTGCACTACCACTACCCAGCCCTTTTTTTATTTTCCAAAATGGCTTCATTTTTTTATTTAATTTATTTATTTTATGTTTGTTTGTTTGGTTTTTTTGAGACAGGGTTTCTCTGTGTAACAGCTCTGTTTTGGAACTCATATTGTGAAATAGGCTGGTCTTGGACTCACAGAGATCTGCCTGCCTCTGCCTCCCCAGTGCTGGAATTAAAGGTGTGTGCCACCACTGCCCAGATGAAATGGTTTTATTATATAGTCCAGACTGGCCCCAAACACTCACAACCCTTTTTCCTCGGCCTCCCAGGTACAGGCATACTCCACCATGATGGCCTCATAACTCTTTACGGGACGCTAGGGTTGTAGAAGCTGGGAGCATGCTTACCTGGCATGTAGGAAACCCTGAGTTCATTCCATAGCACTGCACAATCTCAGTACTTAGAGGCAGAGGGAAGAAGATCAGAGGTTCAAGGACAACGTCAGCTACATATCAAATGAGACCAACTTGGGCTACATGTCTAGAAAATATATCTTTGTGGAGGGTGTTAGATCTTTCTGGAGCCTTCAACATATAATTGTGCCATGTCATACTGCCCAAGTAGGAAACCATGTGACTGTAAACTCCAAGTTCATCAGAATCACTAGGGATTCTGAAGACACCCACCCCCAGGTAGCCTCATCTCTGCACTGCCACCACCATCAATTAATATCCATATCTGGGATTCAGACCACCACTGTCCCTTCTCTTCCCCCAGAAGTCACCTACGGCTTTGTGGGGATGCCCCCTCCATCAGAGAGTGCCACCTCAGTTACCCTTCACCCAGGTAACCCTTTCTATCCGCAGCACCCAACAGGAAGTAGGGCAGAGAAAAGTGGGCCCAATGCCCAGAAAAGAGGGGAAGGAAAATGGGGTGTTCAAATGACCTTGCCCACAAGGGCTGGAGATACCCAAATGTTAATCACCCATTAGCACAGCCCAGGTGGACAGGGAACCGTCATTAGGTGTGCAATAGACTTCACTGGGCAGGAGCAGTGGGCTTGAGTACCTGAGATAAGAGGCTCTCAGGCTAATCAGCGGCTCTGCAGCACCTGCATATAAAGAAGCTAAGATGGGTCTTGAAGCAAGGTCCTGAGAGCCAACGGGAGAAGGAAGGGACCCTATCCTGCCCTCCTGGAAGAGCTAGAAGAGCAGTGGGGTAAGAAAGAGGCCGGGATAGCAATGGAATAGCCTGGGAGGAAGTGTGTCTCCTGGCCCCTTACTCTGTCTCCTTATCTGTACGGGAATCCAGAAGATAGTTCAAAGGGATTCCCAGGGAGACCAGGTCTCCAAGCCTTGGGCTAGCTCTGGCCTTCAGGGATCTGGAGGAAGGTTTCTTGCTGCCTGCTGTCTCTCCAGAAGACTGAAAGAGGAGGAAGGTTTCTTGCTGCCTGCCGTCTCTCCAGAAGACTGGATTGGGTTCAGAAGAAACTTTAGGAAGAACTTCCAAGTTGCGATAGTGTATGTCTGAAAGGGTGTGTGTGTGTGTGTGTGTGTGTGTGTGTGTGTGTGTGTGTAGGATGGTTCTCTGTGTGGTTTCATCTAGAGAAGGGATTTGATGGCTGAGTAACAGCTTAGTTGGAAGCGGGAAGGTGGGCTGCTGTGAACTTTGTCGGGGCTTTAAGGGGATAATCTTGCCAAATCCTGTCCCTGTGATGTCTGGTAATGAGCCAGAAAGGGAGTTCCCACCACCTAGGCCTTTGCTGATTTCTTCCCAGACCTTCCACCCCACCCCACTCCGAAACCACACAGCAAGATCAGCTCTGGGTCAAGGCTCCATGCCCCTTCCAGTCCCTTCCTGTAACCCTAACTTGCTCCTGCCCCACCCCAGCTCTCAGAACTTGCCCAAGTCCCAGCATCAAATGGCCTCCTGGATGTCCCCTCAGTGCAGTACTGGCCCTTTTTCCTTTCAGCTCAGGCACTCAACCTAGGAAGATGGTGGCTATGAAGATCTGCTCTCTGCTGCTAGTGCTCCTCTTCCTGGCGGTCGGGCTGGGAGAAAAAGAAGAGGCTCAATTCAGGTAGGAGTGGAAGGTGGAGGGGGCTGGAATATAAGCTGGTTTGGGATAGGGATTGTGAGAAAGGGACTCCAGGCTGAGAGGAGGGGAGTTAAAGAGGAGAGCCAGTCTGCAGCCTGAGCATGTCGGCTTATTTATTGCGAGTTCCCGTTGAAATGAGAAAGACTGGGGTTAGCTAGGTCTGTGGAAGGACTTTTTGGTGGCAGAGAGTCTGCAGTGTAGGGTCTCCCTTACAAAAACTAACCATCATTGATGCATGCACACATTCACTCAGATCTCATAAGCGCTTCCTGTGCACTAGACACGGTCAGAATACATGTGAACCAAGGTTCACTGATGGCTCCTGCCTTCAGTGAGTACATGGACCACGGCAGACACAGAAAAGAACCATATAAACATGTTACAGAGTGCCAGGCGGTGGTGGCGCATGCCTTTAACCCCAGGCAGAGGCAGGTAGATCTCTGTGAGTTCGAGGCCATTCTGGTTTACAAAGCTACACAAAGAAACCCTGTCTTGGAACAAGCAAACAAACATGTTACTGAGTACAGTGGACCAGACCTGTGATGGGATAATATTGAGTGTGGCAGTTCACTCCTATAACTTTAACTTCAGCACTTGGCAGGCAAGAGACAAGGAAAACTGAAAAGTATGAGGCTAGCCTGGGCTACATAACAAGACCAGAGTCTGGAGGAGGGAGAGGAGGGGGGAGAAGAGGAGGAGGAGGAGAAGGAGGAGGGAGGAGGAGGAGGAGGAGGAGGAGGAGGAGAAGGAGGAGGCGGAGGCAGAGGAGATGATGAGAGTCAGAGAGGCAGAGCCAGAGCTCTGATGGTGTGTTTGGGGACCGAGGCAGAGGCTTGTCAAATAGTACTGGATTTTGTCAGATGAAAGGGCAATCCATGTACCACACAAAGTTGGCACACATGAAATGTGAGCAAAAGTTGTCAGAAATACCTACCAGGAGAGCAGACCTTGTGTTTGTTTAGAACAATGACTCAGGCCAGGCAGTAGTGTCATATGCCCTTAATCTCTGCACTTAGGAGGCACAGGAAGGCAGATAGCTCTGAGTTAGAGGCCAGCCTGGTCTACAGATCTAGTTCCAAGACAACCAGGGCCACACAGAGAAAAGCTGGCTCAAAAAGCCAAAAAGCAAAACAAAACAACAGAGGCAGGCAGTGAGTTCCAGGCCAGCCAGGGCTACAAAGTGAGACCCTGTCTCAAAAAAAAAAAAAAAAAGAACAGAAACTCAGGAAGCCAGTGTCGTGTGTCATGCTGCCTACATCCCCGGACTAGTGAGAGGGCTCAGGAAGATCAGGAGTTCATGGTGAACTTGAGCTACACAGTGAGCTTGAGGCCAGCCTGGGATACAAGAGATCTTGCTTCCCAGAACCTTAACAAACCTAAAGCAGCAACAACAACAATCCCAGAGGGTTGGGGCCGGGAAACACTCCTCGGTGGTACAGAACTTGCCTGGCATGCATGAGACTTATAGATTCCATCCCTAGAACTGAAAGACAAACAGTGCCCCCTCCCAGAAACCTGGCTCCAAATTAATTAGTGAATCCTGAATCTGTCATTTATACTGTGTGGGACCCTGTTTTCCTCATTCACAAAATAGGGACACAGAAGGCAGGCAAACTGGTGGTGGTGGTTGTTCAAAACAGAGTTTCTCTGTGTAGCCCTGGCTATCCTGGAACTCATTCTGTAGACCTTGAACTCAGATCCCTGTTTCCCAAGTGTTGGGATTAAAGGCATGCACCATCACCATCACCACCACCACCAGGCTAAGCGTGGTGAAACACTTACCTGGCATGTGCAAGGTCCTGGATTTGATCCCAGAACCAAAGAGAGAGAGAGAGAGAGAGAGGAGAGAGAGAGAGAGAGGAGAGAGAGAGAAAGAGAGAGAGAGAGAGAGAGAGAGAGAGAGAGAGAGAGAGAGAGAGGAGGAGGGCTGGGGAGATGGCTCAGTGGTTAAGAACACTGGTTTCTCTTCCAAAGGACCAGGGTTCAAGTCCCAGTACCCACAAGGCAGCTCACAGTCTAACTGTAGTTCCAGTGGATCCAACACCTTCACACAGACATGCATGCAGGCAAAACACTAATGTACATAAAATAAAAATAAATTTAAGAAAAGGAGGGGGGGGCTGGAGAGATGGCTCAGCGGTTAAGAGCACTGACTCTTCTTCCAGAGGTCCTGAGTTCAGTTCCCAGCAACCATATGGTGGCTCACAACCATCTTGAAAGAGACCTGGTGCCCTCTGCTAGCATGCAGGTGGAAGACATAATAGATAAATAAAATCTTTAAAAAAAAAGAAAAAGAAAAAGAAAAAGGAGATGAGATACAAATAGTACCTGTCTGATAGGGCTGTGATGGGATAATTTTGTGTACTAAAAAGTTTGTACAGACTGGGGATGTAGTGCAGTGGTAAGACACTTGCCTAATGTATACAAGGCACTGGGTTCAATTCCCAGTACCGAAAAAAAATATAAACCAAAGCTCTCATGCAGTGCTTGAGTCAAAGTAAGTACTCTCTGTGATGTCACCAAATACTGTTATTGTTGGTGTTGCTATATTGACACAGGATCTAAATATGTAGCCCAGGGCAGTTTAAAACTTTGGCATCTGGGGCCAGTGAGATGGCTAAGAGGGTAAAGTCACTTGCCCAGCGATGCAAGCCCGACAACCTGAGTTCAATCTGCAGAGGGCACAAAAATGTGGGAGGAGAGAAATAACTCCACAGAGGCACCCACTGGCCTGCACATGTGCTCTGTCATGGAAACATCCCATAATAATAATAAAATATAAACAACAGAATTTGGGATCCCCTTGCCTCCAGCTCCTGAACACTGAGATTACTGACACTGAGCCTTTGGGAGTTGGTTCTCTCTATCCTGTAGGTCATGGGGTTGAACTCTGGTTGACAGGCTCAATAGGAAACCTCTTTATTTGTCAAAAAGGCTCAACAGCCCCTGAGTTCACTGTTATTATTATTTAATAATTTATCTTTATTTTTATGTGCATTTGCATTCCTGTTTTGCCTGCATGTATGGTCTGTGTGAGAGTGTCAAATCCTGGAGTTACAGACAGTTGTGGGCTGCCATGTGGGTGCTGGGAATTGAACCTGGGTTTTCTGGGTAGATCAGTTGGTGCTCTTAACCAAGCACTGAGCCATCACTCCAGTCCCCTTTTTTTGTTTTTTTGAGGCAGGGTTTCTCTGTGTGTGTGTGCCTTTTTTTTTTGTCCCCACTTCCCCCAGACAGGGTTTCCCTGTGGCTTTGGAGGCTGTCCTGGAACTAGCTCTTGTAGACAGAGATCAGCCTGCCTCTGCCTCCCGAGTGCTGGGATTAAAGGCGTGCGCCACTACCGCCTGGCGAGATGGTCTTTTTGTTGTTGTTTTCTTTTTCCAGATTGGGTTTCTCTGTAGCTTTGGAAGCTCTTCTGGAACTTGCTTAGTAGTCCAGGCTGGCCTCAAACTCACAGAGATCCACCTGTGAGTTTGAGTGCGAGGATTAAAGGTGTAAGCCACCACTGAGTGGAACTTGTAGTGATCCTCCTGCCTCTGCCTTCCAAGTACTGGGATGACAGGCAAGCACTCTCACGACCAGCTCTTTCATTTCGTTATTGACTATGAACCAAAGGACTTAATCAAAGCTATATGGTTTCCTAACCTTTGTCCCTTCACTGCTGTCCTGGTTTCTATCTCTCACCTCTCAGGTCCCATGCTAGATTTGGTAGCCCCCGGCCTCGAGGCCCGAGGTATGCAGAGGGGACTTTCATTAGCGATTACAGCATTGCGTTGGACAAGATCCGCCAACAAGATTTTGTGAACTGGCTGTTGGCCCAGAAGGGGAAGAAGAATGAGTAAGTAGTTCCCTGCACCCCTCCTTTCCCATACCAAACTCTGCGATGCTCACAGCACCTGTGAGGTGCACAGCTCCACTGACATCTTTCAGCAAGTAAGGATGAGGAACTGGCCACACCCAGGGCTCTGAGACTCTGACTGGGCAATAGAGCAGTCTGGTGCAGGATGAGGTGTTCTCCCATCCTTTATCTCTAAGGGAAGGAGCCAGAGAAAATATGGAAGCCCCAAGAGGGACCCCAGAAGTCTGGGGATGAAGGCAGCAGGAAATGGGTTGCCTGTTTACTGGTGGCTACTTTGGACTCTGGGATTAAACCACTATTGTGCCTCCTACAACCAACGCCAAATCTTGTTCTGCCACTGTTTTGTCAGCCTGGTGGATTCTGAAGAGCAGTTGGTGCTGGTGGCAACTGAATACAAACAGTGTTGGGGGTGGGGGGTGCTAGGATGTGGAGAAAGAGGCACTGTTGCTCCTACTGGTGAGGTGTTCAAGGTCCCAGTGTCCCTTTCTCTCCAACCAACTCACTCCCAAATCGTCTTCATCTCGCCAGCTGGAAACACAACATCACCCAGAGAGAGGCCCGGGCTGTGGAGCTGGCAGGACAATCTAACTTGTAGTGATCCTCCTGCCTCTGCCTTCCAAGTACTGGGATGACAGGCAAGCACTCTCACGACCAGCTCTTTCATTTCGTTATTGACTATGAACCAAAGGACTTAATCAAAGCTATATGGTTTCCTAACCTTTGTCCCTTCACTGCTGTCCTGGTTTCTATCTCTCACCTCTCAGGTCCCATGCTAGATTTGGTAGCCCCCGGCCTCGAGGCCCGAGGTATGCAGAGGGGACTTTCATTAGCGATTACAGCATTGCGTTGGACAAGATCCGCCAACAAGATTTTGTGAACTGGCTGTTGGCCCAGAAGGGGAAGAAGAATGAGTAAGTAATTCCCTGCACCCCTCCTTTCCCATACCAAACTCTGCGATGCTCACAGCACCTGTGAGGTGCACAGCTCCACTGACATCTTTCAGCAAGTAAGGATGAGGAACTGGCCACACCCAGGGCTCTGAGACTCTGACTGGGCAATAGAGCAGTCTGGTGCAGGATGAGGTGTTCTCCCATCCTTTATCTCTAAGGGAAGGAGCCAGAGAAAATATGGAAGCCCCAAGAGGGACCCCAGAAGTCTGGGGATGAAGGCAGCAGGAAATGGGTTGCCTGTTTACTGGTGGCTACTTTGGACTCTGGGATTAAACCACTATTGTGCCTCCTACAACCAATGCCAAATCTTGTTCTGCCACTGTTTTGTCAGCCTGGTGGATTCTGAAGAGCAGTTGGTGCTGGTGGCAACTGAATACAAACAGTGTTGGGGGTGGGGGGTGCTAGGATGTGGAGAAAGAGGCACTGTGGCTCCTACTGGTGAGGTGTTCAAGGTCCCAGTGTCCCTTTCTCTCCAACCAACTCACTCCCAAATCGTCTTCATCTCGCCAGCTGGAAACACAACATCACCCAGAGAGAGGCCCGGGCTGTGGAGCTGGCAGGACAATCTCAGAGAAATGAGGAGACAGAGGGACAGCAGAGGTGAGTCTGTCATGAGGACAGAGGGGAAACAGCCTCCAGCTCACTGGCTTCACTGAATAGCAGTCTTTCCTTCAGCCACCAGCCAGCTCCCAAATCTTGACGTGGAGACTTAATATTAGTTATGAATATTCGGCCTTCTCTTAGGCTTACCTGTTTCTGTGCATCTACCTTGTAGCTTGGGGCTTTTTTACCTTTTTTTTGTTTTTTGTTTTTTGAGACAAGGTTTCTCTGTGCAGCTTTGGAGCCTATCCTGGTACTCACTCTGGAGACCAGGCTGGCCTCTGCCTCCCTAGTGCTGGGATTAAAGGCATATGCCACCAACGCCCAGCCTTTATTTTTGTTCTAGTTTGTTATATTAGTTTAAATTTGGGGAGTAGGTTATCACTACGTAGACCTGGCTGTCTTGGAACTCACCAGTATAAACCAGACTCAAGCTACTAGACAATCTTCCTGAGATCCTCTTACTTATTCTCTGCCTGCCAGTGCCGTCTATACCTCTACTGCCTAGCTATTGGCTATTTAGTTTTTTATTAGAGCAATCAGGTGCCTTAGGTAGGCAAGGTCAAACAGCAGCACACGTTTACATAATTAAACAAATACAGCATAAACAAATGTAACACACTTTTATATAGTTTAAGTAATATTCCACAACAGCTCCCTCTCTCAGACTGCAGAGGAGGGCAGGGATCCCACGACAAGCACCCCCTTCTCTAAGAGCTCAAAGAGAGGGTTCCAGTGAGCGAAGTCCTGGCGGATCCCCTGAGGGCTTTCTAAGGCCTGTAACTGAATGTATACATGGATTCACTGTATCAGGGAGAGTAGGGAACGAGGGACCTCAGAGTTGGCTTCTCCTTGCCAAATCTCAGGAAGGCTGTTTGAGAGGACAGGGCATTCTCCCAAAGCCAGAGTCCTGACATCAGCCACCTGGTCTGTGAAGAAGTGATGAATGTGAGGCTCAGGGACATTGTCTATGGGGTCACTGGATGGAAATGGATGCATTATCAGATAACTTTAGAGGTGAGTGGATGAGCTGCATCCCTGCAAAACTGGTTTGTTTTGCCTGGATTGAGGACCCCGTGTTCCCTGGGTAGGCAGAACTAGGTAGGGCCCAGCACAAAAGAGGCTAGGGATCAGAGAGTGGAGATATCCCAGAGGCAGCTAGCTGTGCTGGCTCCCTAGCTTTTGGCATATGCTTTAATCCCAGTACTCAGCCCAATTTGGTTTACATAGCAAGTTCTGGGCCAGCCAGGGCTATAGAGTGAGACTGTCTGAAAACAAAACACCCAGGCCCCTGCAATCTGTCTTCTTTGCAGCTCCTTGCCCAAGAACCCCAGTGATGAAGATGTGCTAAGGGATTTGCTTATTCGAGAGCTGCTGGCCTGGATGGTGGACCAAATAGAGCTCTCCTGGCTCAGGTGGGGAGCACGAGGGCTACGGGGGTGTTGTAAGGTTGTTAGTTAGAAGTTTAGACTTCCAGGTGACATATATATTCAGATTTGTGTGTGTTAGTAGCTCACTGTCTGTGTGCCCATGTATGTCTTGTTGGGAATTGAACCCAGGGCAATTGTTAAGCAAATGCTCTACCACTGAGCCATATCCCCAGTCCTGTTTGTTTGTTTGTTTGCTTAGTCCAGGTTGGTTCAGAGCACCCTGGGTTGCCTAGGTTGGTGTCAAACTCATGATCCTCCTGTCTTCTCAGTACTGGGATTATAGGGGTCTGCCTATAGTCTTCATTCAGATCTTTGTCCCAATACACACTAGCAAAGAACTAACACTTTCAGATCTATAATGGCTCTGTGTGTGTGTGTGTGTGTGTGTGTGTGTGTGTGTGTGTGTGAGAGAGAGAGAGAGAGAGAGAGAGAGGGCTGTCACCTAGCACTTGGCAGAAGGATCTCAGGAAGATTGTCTAGTAGCTTGAGTCTGGTTTATACTGGTGAGTTCCAAGACAGCCAGGTCTACATAGTGATAACCTACTCCCCAAATTTAAACTAATATAACAAACTAGAACAAATTTAAAGGGTGGGTGTTGGTGGCACACACCTTTAATCCCAGCACTCGGGAGGCAGAGGCAGGCAGAGCTTTGTGAGTTCGAGGGCAGCCTAGTCTCCAGAGGGAGTGCCAGGATAGGCTCTAAAGCTACACAGAGAAACCCTGTCTCGAAAAAGCAAAAAAAAAACAAAAACAAAAAAAAACCAAAAACAAACAAACAAACAAACAAAACCCCCCAAAAAACAAAAAAAAACAAAAACAAAAAAAAACCAAAAACAAACAAACAAACAAACAAAACCCCCCAAAAAACAAAACAAAACAAAAACAAAAAAACAAAAAAAGAAAACCATAGCCAGGCATGGTGGCCTACACCTTTGATTCCAGCACTTGGGTGGTATTGGCGGGAGGAAGTCTGAGTTTGAGGCCAATCTGCTCTACAGAAAGAGATCCATGATGAGAAAGAAAAACTACAAAAGTACCATGGTGACACTTGCTTATATAATCCCAGTACTCAAGAAATAGAGGCAGGAGGACCAGAAGTTCAAGCTCACTCTCGGTTACTGACTGTATTTGAGGCAAGCCTGAGCTATAGACTGTCTCAAAACCAAACCAAACCAACCAAAGGACCAAAGAAAAAAAGTCAAGGACACATAAATCTTTCCATGGAAGGTTGGCAGAACACTTGCCTAGCAGGTATAAAGACCTGGGTTCTCTCCTTCATACTGAAGAAAAAAGCTTATGGGATTGTGGCTAGGTTTAAATAAGACAAACAAGTGAGTTAGGAGTGTAAAGTCACACACCTGTAATCTTAAAACTTAGCAGGCAGAGGCAGGTGGATCTCCGTGAGTTCAAGGGAGTTCTGTGCTAGCACCCCATCCAAAAATGGGGAGTGTGGCTCAATGGTAAAAACCTTTATGAAACCTAGTGAGTTCGATCCCTGGGACCAGCATGGTGAAAGGAGAGAACTGACTCCTGCAGGTTGTTCTTAGCCCTCTGCAGCATGCACACATGTGCACACACAATAAATGAATATAATAAGACAAAGCAAGGGGATGAAGCAAAGAGGGAGGGCCACGTCAGAGAAATAATAAGAGCTGAGCAGTATATGCTGCTACCTGTTCTTCCAAGATTCCCTTCTCAGCTTCCTCCAGCTCAGGTGCTGTTCTCCTGTCCTCTGTCTTCTCACCCACTGCCCATTCTGTTCTCAGCTTTCCCTCATGGCCTTAGGGCAGTGGCACCTTCCTAGGGACCCATATTTGATGCTCCACATTTCCCTGCTCCATAATCACTGTTCATCCCAGTGGCCATCTGCTAGGTTCTATTCCAGAGTGAGGGCCTAAATACATGAACCCCAATGGTGACAGAGGACCTCAGTCCAACACACAGAAACCAGAACACGCCCAGACTTTAATAATAGGAGCTGGAGAGGGATGGAGGGAGGAAATCTGAGACTGGAGAGATAGCTCAATGGGTAAAGTGCTTTTGAGCAAACCTGAGGACTTGAGTTCAATTCCCTCACTTATGAGAAAGCCAGGACCACAGCATGCCTTTAATCCCAGTGTTGAGATGGATACAGGTACATCACTGTGGATTGCCAACCAGTCTAGCTGATCAGTGAGCTCCAGGTTCAGTGAGAGATCCTTCCTTAAAAAATAACTTGGGAGCTGGGTAGTGGCAGCATATGCCTTTAATTCCAGCACTGGGAGGCAGAGGCAGGCAGATCTCCGTGAGTTTGAGGCCAATCTGATTTACATAGCGAGTTTCATGACATCCAGAGAAAATAGTGAAACCCCAGGTCTTTAAAAAAATAAAAATAAGGTAGATAGAGGCTGGAGAGAATGCTCAGTGGTTAAGCACTTGCTGTTCTTCCAGAGAAACTGTGTTCTGTTCCAGCACCTACATGATAGTTAATAGCCACCGATTAACTCTAATTCCAGAGCCTTCTCTTCGGGTCTCCACAGGCACTGTATCCACATTGTGTACACATATACACATAGGCAAAACACCCAAAAACATAAAATAAAAGGAAATAAACCTTTTTAAAAAATCAAGGTGGGCTGAGAGTTGGTGGCTCATGCCTTTAATCCCAGCACTCGGGAGGCAGAGGCAGGCGGATCTCTGTGAGTTCAGGCCAGCCTGGTCTCCAGAGCGAGTGTCAGGATAGGCTCCAAAGCTACACAGAGAAATCCTGTCTCGAAAAGCCCCCCCCCCCAAAATTAAGATGGACAGCAATCTCTAGTCTGCACACATGGACACACACGAAGATGTACACAAATACATACATACATACATACATACATACATACACACACACACACACACACCACAAACATACAATGTGATCAAGCCAGTGGAGATGAGAAGCCTCTGTAGGAAGGTGAGGAACTGTCTCTGTACTTTGTGAATGATTTTGACTACTGATAAATCAAATGACCTTTAAAAAGGTCATTTGAAACTAGTCAGTGTACACCTTTAATCCCAGCACTCAGGAGGAAGTGGTGGGTGGAACTCTGAGTTTGAGGTCAGCCTGCTCTACAAAACTAGTACTAGGATAGCTAGAGCTGAAACACAGAGAAACCCAGTCCAGAAAAACCAAAAACAAACAAAAAGTCTATTTGCAGGTAGGAGTGGTTTATCTATGCCTGGGCGCCAGGATAAATTTGCTGAGCTGACTCAGTTGGTAACCACCCTCCCTTCCTTGTCTCCCTTCTTCCAGGTCTCAGTGACGGACCTAGTCCAGAGCAGGATTGGACTCTACCCTTTGCTTGCCAGGTCCTGCTTCCACCCTCGTCCAAAGTCTCTGCAAGAACCAAACCAATAAAGTCTTGAGCTGAAGTAAATCCTGGTGTCTACTGTGAAAACTCATTCCAATGTGAACTGAGCACTGACAGGTTGTGGTTGTGCATATCCTGGGTGTGTCCGTGCCTCCCAGGGAAAAGGGACACCAGTTATTCCTCTGCACACCTACCAGCATATGGAAAATTCAACATAAGACAGGAGGGCTTCTGACAGAATCACTGCATAACCACGAAGCAACAGACAAATAGCAGACCTTCATGCTAGCTGAGCATGATATTACAAGCTTGTAAAACCAGTGTTGAAGAGGGAAGGCAGGAGGATAAGGAACTCAAGGACAGACTTGCCTACATAAGACTGTCTTAGTCTCCAAAGCAAACAAACACAAAAGGAAGGCTCTCCAGGTCTTCTACATAGGTCTTCAAAGTAGCTGGACCTGGTGTGCGAAGACCACAGCCAGCAAACCTTCATCTTTCCACACACAAACACATTACTAGTCCCAGTGTGCTGAGTCATGTGAAGAAAGACAGAAAAGTCCTTTCTAGGTGTGATGTGGTGAGGAAACAGCTGAGACCAGGTGGACAAAACAGTGAGTAAGTAAGCTGGAGACACAGCTCAGAGGTAAGAATGAGAGGACTGGACTTTGGTTCCCAAAGCCCCCATCCAGTGGCTCACAATGGCCTGTTAACTCTCGCTCCAGGTGATCCAACATACTCTTCTGGCCTCAGAGGGCATGCACACTCACCTGTGCATATCCCCACACAGACACACATACATACACATCAATTTATTTATTTATTGGTTTTTCGAGACAGGGTTTCCCTGTGGCTTTGGAAGCTGTCCTGGAACTAGCTCTTGTAGACCAGGCTGGTCTTGAACTCACAGAAATCCACCTGCCTCTGCCTCCCAAGTACTGGAATTAAAGGCGTGTGCCACCACTGCCCAGCTCATACACATCAATTTAAAAAAATCAAGTCAGTAAATCAGAAGATGAGCAATGGGGAGTACACATAAGAGCTGAGGAGCAGTCAGGACTCGGGCCTCAAAGGGATGGCTCAGCACTGAAATACAGCACTGGGGAAGATGAGGCAGGAAGACTGCTGAAAGTTTGAGGCAACCTGAACTGTAGTGAGACCTTGTATCTAAATAAAATGTTGGATGTGGTAGGCCACATCTTTAAACCTAGCATTCTGGAGCCAGAAGCAGGTGGATCTCTTTAAGTTTGAAAGCCAGCCTGGCTTACATAGTGGAGTTCCAGGCCAGCATGGGCTACACAGTTGGACTAAAGAAATTTAGTTTGGAGTAGTGGTGTATACCTTTAAACCTAGCACTCAGGAAGCAGAGGCAGGTGGATCTCTGTGAGTTCAAGTCCAGCCTTTTCTACAGAGCTAGTTCCAGAACATCCAGGGCTACACACACACACACACACACAAATATGTACTTTACAAATATAATTTGAATATAATCATTTTGTGGGGTGGTTGGAGGGATGGCTCAGTGGTAATGAGGAACACTGGCTGTTCTTTCAAAGGACCTGGGGTTCCATTCTCAGCATCCACAAGACAATTCACAACTGTCTGCAATTCCAGTCCCAAGAGATCTGATGCCTTTTTCTGGCATCTGAGAGCACTGCCCACATACGGTATACATACACAAAGGCAAAACATACATACACATAAAATTTAAAAACATTTAAAATTTTTTTAGATTTTTTAAATTATTATTATTTACTTTTTATTTTCCATGACAGGGTTTCTTTCCATAGCCTTTGCTGTCCTGGAACTTGCCCTGTAGACCAAGCTATCCTTGATCTCAGAGATCTGCCTGCCTCTGCTTCCTAAGTGCTGGGATTAAAGGGGTGGGCCACCAAGTCTGGCTGACTTCTAAGTTTTCATGCATTGTTGGTGATATTATTTCTTCCCTTCTAAACTTCTGCAGCTTCTGAAGTTTGTAGCATGCAATTTCGGGACAGTCTTTGCTCAGAGGTTTATTTTAGTCATTCTCCCCTCTCCCTTTGTGACACTAGGGTCTAGAACCCAGCACCCACCCACACAGTACCTGACGCTGAGCTATACCTTCATCTTTATTAAGTAGCGTTTACATCTATTTATTGTGTAAGTGCATGCCTGTGTGCATGTGTGTCTGCATGCATGTGTGTGCACTGGAGCTCTTGTGGAGGACAGAGAATAGCTTTCCAGAGTTGGTTCTCTCCTCATACCATGTGGGTTCCAGGATTCCAATTCTGGTCATCAGGATTGACATCAAGGCAAGTACCTTTTGATTCTGGGTCCTCTTACTATTATTATATTTAATGAAGTAGTTAGGATTTATTAAAAGTAGGTTTTAAAGTGGGTGGTGGTGGCACACATCTTTACTCCCAACAGTCAGGAGGCAGAGGCAGGTGGATCTCTGTGAGTTCCAGACCAGCATGGTCTTCAAAGAAAGTTCCAGGACAGTTTCCAAAACCTACAGATAAACCCTGTCTTGAAAAAAAAAATAGAAATTCACTATGTAGCTCAGGCTGGACTCCAACTTAGAGAACTGCCTGCCTCTGGAGTATTAGAATTAAAGGCATGAGCCACCATGACTGGCACTTAAAATTATTTTTTCATTTATTTCTTTCTGTATGTGAACACTTAAGCACACCACAGTTCGTGTTTGTGTGGGTATGGGGTGGCATCCATGAAGAAGTCAGAGGACAACTTGGAGAAGTCAATTCTTTCCTTTCATCGTGTAGGTCCTAGAAATTGAATCCAGGTCTTCAGGCTTGGTCATCTCATCTTCCCTAATGGTTTTGTTCTGTTTTGAGACAAGGTCTCATGCTGGCCTCTTACTTGCTATGTAGTCAGGCTGGCCTTGAACTCCTGATTCTCTTGTCTCCCAAGACCTTGGATTACAGTTGTGCTTATCTCACCAGCTAGAAATTACAATTTTGTTTGTTTATTTGAGATAGGGTTTCTCTGTGTAGCTCTGGCTGTCCTCATTATGTAGACCAAACTGGTCTTGAACTCTCAGAAATCTGCCTGCCTCTGCCTCCTGGGTGCTGGCATTTAAGGTATGAGCCACCAAGCTTGGTTTAGAAATTACTTGGAAAAAAGGTTTATTTATTTTACTTTATGAAACATTTACATGCATACATGGTGTGCACCACATCCCCCAGAACTGGGGTTATTAATGGTTATGAGACACCATGGGTATGATGGGAATCAAACCCAGGTCCTCTGCAAAAGGTAACACATGCTCAGTGCACACCTTTATTCCCAGCACCCTGGAAGCAGAGGCAGGCGAATGTCTGTGAGTTCAAGGCCAGCCTGGTGTATGGAGAAGCCAGTTCCAGGACATCCAAGGCTACACAAAGAAACCCTGTCTGGAAAAAACAACAAAACAAAAATTACTATTTGCTCTTAACCAAAGAGCCATCTCTCCAGATCCTAGAAATTACTTTTTACATCGGCTATGTTTTACTGATTCTTCATGATAGAACTTACTATGGAAAGAGAAAACAGACTTCACAAAATTGTTCTCTGACTTCCTCACAAGCACCATGGCATGTATGCCCACACACTAACCCACAGACAATAATAATAATAAAAAAGAATTTAATACCTTAGGGAAAAGTTTGGATTTACATTTGTGGGGTCGTGGATATCTGAGGGGAACGACAAAGAGTCAAAAAGTTATATACTTTTTTCTCTCTTTGTATAATGTCCTTTCTACGAGCCAGCCATTGTAAAAGACTACCTGTAAAGATAGTTTTAACCACAGTGACTTCACCTAAAGCCTCATCACCAGATCTGTAACATAGCACGTTAAGTGTGCATGACACTGCCTGTGTGAGGCAGAAAACTATGCAGTAAGTCTGTCTGCCACAAGGACAGAACCCTTTCTTACATAATGAAGCTTACTTGTTGGATTCATTTGTAGAGATTCTGAGTTACAGCTAAGGGCTATAAATGGTGGCACACACCTTTAATCTCAGTGCCCAGGAGGCAGAGGCAACAAGATCTCTGTGCCGCCTGTTCTACACAGTGAGTTTCAGGACAGTAAGGGGTATGTAGAGACTCACTCAAGAGACAAACAAAAAACACCAAAAAGAACGTACAGCTAAGAACTTGAATGTGAGTCAGACTGCCTGACTCATTGCTAAGTCCTGTTCTATGCAGTTAAGTAATTTAACGCAGATTCACGAGTCTCTTGTGAAATACAATACCAACTCACGAATTTGAGGGTTGAGAAAATGTAAAACAAAGCAAGTTGTGCAGTGCGTGGCACAAAACTATCAGAGTGCTGCTGCTGCTTCTAAGATTGCTTTTTTATTGGCTTTTGCCTCAACTGGGCGCGGGGGCATATGTATTTAATACCAACATTCGGAGGTCGAGGCAGGAGACCTCTGTAAATTTGAAGCCAGCTTGGCTTATATCGTGAGTTCCAGTCCAGCCAAGGATATATAGTGAGGCCTTGTCTGGAAAAAAAAAAGGCACCTTCCACGGCCAACACAGCACTTGGTGATGTCCCTGAAGCATCTGTTGCTCTCCAGGCGCTGGAGTCCCATAACACCAGGCACCCACCTTCGTGGGATGCAAAGAGAAACACAACGGAGGCCGGAGTTCGCGCCTTCGACGTCGTCTGGGCTTCGGGGAACGCGGCCCTCAACTTAAGGCGAGGCTGCTCTTCCTCCCCCGCCCCCCGCCGCAAAACACTCAGCCTCGGAGCAGGAAGTGTAGGTGCGACTTCCGGCGCGCGCAGATGACGCATGGCACTGGGCTTCCGCGTTGGGAGCCGGCAGCAGAAGCTGGGACGCGGAGAGCTGGGGTCCGGGCTGCGGGGCGGCCCGGGGGCCCGGGGTGGGGATGCACCGGCGCGGGGTGGGAGCTGGCGCCATCGCCAAGAAGAAGCTCGCCGAGGTGAGCGGAAGGAAGCCGGGCCGCAGCCTACTCTGCCCACGAGACACCGAATTCTGCCGGAGCGCGGTTCTCTTCCCCTAAATCGCCTCCTAACAATGTGTAGAAGACGGGCTTCTCTGGAGCCCGGGAATGAGTGCACTGGAGTGTCAGGAACCGCCGATTAAACCATTATTTAAGACAGATCCTTACCCCTACATGCTAAAGCTGTGGCAGCAGAATGGGAGCCTTGGCGCTCACTGTCTCAACTCATGCCGGTCTTTTTGTCTGACAGGCCAAGTATAAGGAACGAGGGACTGTCTTGGCTGAGGACCAGCTGGCCCAGGTGAGTGACCGTAAGGCTCCAGGCAGGAAGGGAGGTCGAACAACGCTGGACAACATGACATACCTTTGATAGTGTAGATTGTTTAGACTGAACTAAAAATAGGGTGCCAGGCAAATCCAGATCTCGTTTTAGGGAGATTTACTAATAATAGCAAGGATTTTTGAGCGATTAGACTTGAGATTCCCCTCTTGTCCCCGCCCCCTTTTTATTTTACTTGATTATTGTCTTTTTGTTATTTTATTTTTTAAGATGGGGGTCTCACCTTTCTGTCCAAGTATCATATGGCACCCACCACTCCTCGACTCCTGTTTTCTTTAAATACACGTTCACGTTCAATCCTCATTACAATTCCATGTCAACCTAAATTTAAACAAAAAAAAAGTAGTCAGGGGGTGGAGATGTAGCCCAGAGGTAGAGTGTTTACCTAACATGCACAAATACTTGAGTGCCATTCTCAGCACAACAACAAAAAGTTAACCGCATTTTCTTTAAAAATTAGAATGATAACTTCTCCCTAAGAATACTAATACTTATTTGCAAATAGCGTTGCAGTTGGAATAGCATGACATTAGGAAAACATAAGCAAGTTGGTTCCGTGTGCATGTCTAAAGAAGTTAAGACAAAAAGTTTTTGACTCATTAATGTTAAATATTTAAAATGATAATCTTTAGTCACAATGATTAATAAGAATGGTGTTGTTGTTCAAGGTTAAACAGTCTGTTGAGCAGGTGCCTTTTTTGAAATTTTTTTTTTTTTTTTTTTTTAGACAGGGTCTCTATGTGGTCCTGGCAGTCCTAGAACTCAATATGGCCTGAAATTCATGGAGGTCCTTCTGCCTCTGTCTCTCAAGTGCTGGGATTAAAGTCACATGCCACTGTACCTGACTCTTTTTAATTTTTTTTAGAGTTAGGGTCTCACTGTGTATCACTGGTATGGAACTAGCTGTGTTGACCAGGCTGGCCTTGCAATCAGATACCCACCTGCCTCTATCTCCCCACAGCTGGTATTATTGGAGTATACCACCATACTTTATTGGTTTGGTTTTATTTGGGGAGGTACTGGGGGTTGGTTCTTTGTATCAAACCCAGAGCCTGGCATATACTGAGTATGTTTGCTATCACTGAGCTGTCCCTCAACCCACAGCTTTTAAATGTCTCACAATAATGATATGACTGTGACAGTAACAACTGGGCATACACCAGGAGGGAGGATGTGACAGGGTGCGGGTTCCTTCTCTAACATTACCCTTTGGTGTAGGGACTCTGCATTTGGGTATTGTGGCTGGTGAAGAGGAGGAGGGGCTGGTTCATCCAAATGGCTCTTGATCTGAGGAAAAACAGACACAGGGTGTCTTTAAATTTTTTAAAAGATTTATTATGTTTATGTGTGAGCATGCTTGCATGCACACATGCAGGTGCCTGTAGAAGAAGCCTGAAGAGGGTCAGATCCTGCTGGGTGGTGATGGCGCTCACCTTTAATCCCATACTACACAGTGAGTTCTAGGGCAGCCACAGCTTCATAGGAAAACCCCCGTCAGAAGCGTGTCCGGTTCCCCTGGAGCTAGAGTTGTAGGTAGTTGTGAACCACCCAGTGTGAGCATTAAGAACCAAGCTCTGCTCCTTTTCCGGAGCAGCAAGTAGTGCTTTTTTTTGGGGGGGGGGGTTGAGATAGGGTTTCTTTGTATAGCCCTGGCTGACCTGGAACTCTCTCTGTAGAGGAGGCTGGCCTCAAACTCACATAGATTCACCTGCCTCTGCCTCTCAAATGCTGGGATTAAAGGAGTGTGCCACCAAGGCCCAACTTGGGTTTTTTGTTGTTGTGGGGTTTTTTTGTTGTTGTTGTTATGTTTTTTGTTTTTTGAGACAGTGCTGGAATTAAATACCACCTGGCAACTTGGGGGGGAGGGATTTCAAGAGAGGTTTCTCTGCTTAGTCCTTTGCTGTCCCAGAACTCAATCTGTAGACTAAGCTGGTCTCAAATTTAATAGATATCCACCTGCCTCTGCCTCCCAAGTGGTGGAATTAAAGGTATGCACCTTGTGGAAGCTTTTTTTTTTTTTTTTTTTTTTTAAGTCATGACCTCTTTGTGTACCCCAGTCTGGCCTTGCCTTGAACTTGAGATCCTCCGACTTCAACTTCCCAAGTGCTTGCCTGAATTCCCCAGCTGGATTGTGCTTTTAAGACTTTCTTGTTTCGGGGCTGGAGACAGTTCAGCAGTTAAGAGTACTTACTGCTCTTGCAGAGGACCCAGGTTTGATTTCCAGAACCCACATAACAGCTCACAAGTACCTATAATTCCAGTTCCAGGGCATCCAAACCCTTATTACCCCCTCAGGCACCTGCACACATGTGGTACACATACATACACTCAGACATGCACATATAAGATAAATTGTAAAAGATAAATGAATAAGGCTGGGCAGTAGTGGTTCACACCTTTAATCCCACAACTCAGGAGACAGAGGCAGGCGGATCTCTGTGAGTTCAAGGCCAGCCTGGTCTACAGAGCGAGTTCGAAGATAGGCTCCAAAGCTACACAGAGAAACCCTGTCTCCAAAAACCAAAAAAAAAAAAAAAAAAACCAAAAAAAAGAAAAAAAAAAAAAAAAAAAAAAAAAAAAAAAAAAAAAAACCAAAAAAAGGAAAAAAAAATAAACAAAAGCTCTTGTTTCTAGGGAAGATGGCACATAAGCATTAACTGTGAACAGTTATTAAAAGAATTAGAGCCAGGAGCCAGGCCTTGGTGGCGAATGCCTTTAATCCCAGCAGAGGCAGAGACAGGTGGATCTCTGTGAGTTCGAGCCTGGTCTACTGAGCGAGTTCCAGAACAGGCTCCAAAACAATACAGAGAAACCCTGTCTCAATCCCCCTCCCCCCAAAAAAAGAATTAGACGAGGAGGGGGAATATAGAGATTTCTGGTAATCTTATGTGGAAAATGAGAGAGCTATTGGTCAAGAGTGATTCTTAGTGGCCTAAAAGCTATTTATCAGGAAAAAAAAGGCTGATGCAGATAAAACAAAAGATCATAAAATCTCCAAGGGTTTATACTTGGCTCTGGACTGCAGCATGCTTCACCTTACCAATTCTTTATCTAGAGTTGGCTCTCGTTGGTACAAGATTTAAAGGTTCAATAACCAATACAATCCCAATTTTTAGTCTTCATTCTTCCTATCCAGCCTTTCCTCTAGTGGCTAAACATTTCTGTTTGTAGGAACATCCTATTCTTTCATTTTTAAGACAAAATAGAGTGTTAGATGAATCTTCAGTTGAATGAATTTCTCCAGGAAGAAGAGAAAAAGCACACCAAACATGCATGTTGATTATCAGGATGGGAACACATGAAAACAAATACAGACTTTAGAATGGAGGAGACCACATCATCTCCCTTCTACTGCAACACAAGTGTGCAGAGGCATCAGTAGGGGAGATAGCACAGAACAGAGCATCACTGCATATGCCCATAATCTCAGGACCTGCTAAGAGTGGCAGGAGAATCAGGAGTTCAAGGTCATCTTCCACTTACAATGAACTCAAGCCCAACTGGGCTCCAGAGACCCTGTCTCAAAAAAAAAAAAAAAAAAAAAAGAGAAAATGAAAAGAGAAAGTACACAATACACAGGGTAATGATGGATCTAAAGGAAACTGGTTCTTTTTTTGGTTGTTAACATTTATCTGTGTGAAGTATATGGGCTCCTGTCACAATACATGTGAGAAGGTCAGAGAACAATTTACGATTGGTTCTCTCCTTCCACTGTGTGTAGTCCAGGGATTAAATTCGGGTTGTCTTGCTTGATAGCAAGTGCCTTTACCCGCTGAGCCATCTCAACCAGCCAGAGACTGGTTATTTTAGACTTTTCTCTACCACTGAGCTGAGGACCTATCTTTAGCCTTGATTACACTTGTTTTGCTCTGACCTTCCCCCTTGTCTTTCATAACAGATGTCAAAACAGTTGGACATGTTTAAGACCAACCTAGAAGAATTTGCCAGCAAGCACAAGCAAGAGATCCGGAAGAACCCTGAGTTCCGTGTCCAGTTCCAAGACATGTGTGCTACTATTGGGGTGGATCCTCTGGCCTGTAAGGGATTGTCTGTGGGACCCATTGTCTTGTAAGACCCTTAAGGGAGAGAAGCTCACCCACTGTCATCACTTCTGTGGGGCATCTCTAGATAGGCCTGCAAGAAAAGGAGGATATGTGTTTAGGCGGCCCTTCTGTAGAGGGTAGTGTGAGCCCTTCTGTTATGGAAAGTGGAAAGCCCAGAGTGCAGCCTGTGGTCTGTAGGTGTCAACTCTCCTTGGACAATTTGTGGTATGCCTTTTATTTTTTCCTAACTTTCCTCTTAATAGAAAAAGAAAAGTGTTTTAAAGATTTATTTTTACTTTTTTTGTTTTGTTTTGTTTTTTTGTTTTTGTTTTTTCGAGACAGGGTTTCTC